CAAGCGCTGGCTCGTCTGGCTCAAACTCGACTGCGGGAATGGCAGAGGTAGGTGCCTTCCCCCCACCCCGTCCCCAAAGTCACCCTCTCCCAGATCCCACCGGTGCCTGGGGTGCCGCGGGGTAAGGGGAGGATGGAGAGATGGGGCGCCACGTGTCTTCACAAAGGAGCCTCAGCATCCTCTCGGGATGCTCAGTGGGGTGAGATGTTCCGTGTCCCACCCAACCTCACCATCTCAACCAGGATGGGGCATTTAACCCCTCCAAAAAAGTCATTATTTGAGGATACATCATTGGAGATGGATGCTCCATGCCCCACCAACCTCAGGTCCCCAGAACCACCATCTCAACCAGGATGGGGCATTTAACCCCTCCAAAAAAGTCATTATTTGAGGATACATCATTGGAGATGGATGCTCCATGCCCCACCAACCTCAGGTCCCCAGAACCACCATCTCAACCAGGATGGGGCATTTAACCCCTCCAAAAAAGTCATTATTTGAGGATACATCATTGGAGATGGATGCTCCATGCCCCACCAACCTCAGGTCCCCAGAACCACCATCTCAACCAGGATGGGGCATTTAAGACCCTCGCCAAAATTCATTCTTCAAGGATGCTCCATGAGGAGAGATGCCCATAACGCTCCAGCCCCCACCCCGGGGCATTTAAGCCCTCCCACCCCTCTCAAACCCCATTTTTACCCACTCGCCCCCAGGATGCTCCATGGGGAGGGATGCCCCATATGCGCCCATCCCCACCTTCTCAACCAGGATGGGGCATTTAAGCCCTCCCAAAAAGTCATTATTTGAGGATACATCATTGGGGATGGATGCTCCATGCCCCACCAACTTCAGGTCTCCAACCCCACCATCTCAACCAGGATGGGGCGCTTAAGCCCTCCAAAAAAGTCATTATTCGAGGATACATCATTGGAAATGGATGCTCCATGCCCCACCAACTTCAGGTCTCCAGCCCCACCATCTCCACCAGGATGGGGCGTTTAAGCCCTCCCAAAAATGTCATTATTTGAGGATACATCATTGGGGAGGGATGCTCCATGCCCCACCAAGCTCAGGTCCCCAGAACCACCATCTCCACCAGGATGTGGCGTTTAAGCCCTCCTACACACCCCTAAACTCCATCTTCATCCACCCACCACAGGGATGCTCCATGGGGGAGGATGCCCCATGTCCCCCCAGACCTTCAGCTCAACCAGGATGGGGCATTTAAGATTCCTCCCCCCGCCACCCCCCCAAAAGTCATTCTTCAAGGAAACACCATGGGGCAGAGATGGCCTAGAGCCCCCATGATGGGACATTTAAGCTCCCCCCACCCCCCAAACCCCATTTACACCCCCCCATCCTG